GACTCAGTTTCTCCATCTGTAAAGTGAAAAGTTGGATTAGTTCAGTGAACACCAGGAGTTGACAGGAATAGTAACAGGATCAGTAGCACTTGAGACCAATCTCTATTTAGCAGCTACTAGAAGTGTTGTATTATGCCAGGAACTAGTTAGGGCTCAGCGGAGTAAAAGTGTGGAGAGGCAGACTAGCAGATGAATAATCATGATTGATTAATAGTATGATGAGAAACCAAGTATACAAAAAGCAAAGGAAACTGGAAGCATGGCATCAGCCCACGAATTCTTTTGAATACTTTTAAAATGTAATGAAATGCCTATATTTGCTCTGATAAGACCGAGCTGTCTAACCAAAATACCTAGTTTCTTTCTAATAGCTGAAAAGATGTCAACTTAGTGTGCTAACATTAGTTCTGTGATGCTGATCTGGTGCCCTAGTTGGTAGTTGGAGCCGTGACCAGCAATTCTGGCACCCGTGGCAAACAGCATGAGACAAACCCTGAAATCAACTTTTTAATTCATGTTGTGGCTCATAGATGGGTGTTATTAACAATGTGCACCATCTGGTAGCTTTCTATTTTAAGTTTTCATTCCTGCTAACTAGATGTGTTGAGCTTTTTAAATTATTATTTTAAATTTATGTGACCTCTAAATGTCCTGACCTAAAACAAAAAGTCCTGGTCATCCTGCCCTTGTCTTGATTTAAAATGAGAAAATATATTATTACTTAAAAGCAATTTGTTGCATAAATTAACATTTTGCACATATGAAGTTGATGAAATAAAAATTAGCAAAAAGAAGTCTTGCTGGCTAGAAGACTCTATGCTCCTATTACTGTGTGGTGAGTGTTTCAAGTTCCAAAACATTGCACTATATTGCATCATACCTGCAGCTCTTAAAGCCAGGCACACTGTGGGTGCTTGACAAAATTTCCACAAGGCTAGGTGGATGTCCAAAAACTGGGACAACTCCAGGATGTGTGGTCAGTTGTATGGACAGAATCTTGAGAGGATTTGAGATCTTCACACATCCCAAAGTTCTATTTTGTGAATTTAAGTCTCTGCCAACACATCCTCTGCTATTATAGTCTCATGTAAATGTTCCTGGTGTTTCCAATCATATCATCTCTTCTGATGTTTGATGTTCTGTTTCTTGGTTATTCCTATAATTTAATTCTTATAGATGTTCCCACATGTGTGGGTCTTTTTTCTGTTTTTGAAGAAATGGAAATCTCTTGCAAGGCCACCTGGGGAGGCCAGCACAGCCAACAGTGGCTCAAGTAACTGTTGGGGAAGACTAAGGAGGCTCCGAAATGTCCTGGTCCATTTCTCTCTGCTTTGGGTCCCCAGCACGGGCAGAGGAAGCCACAAATACTTATATGCCAAGACACAGTCACTTCTATCCATCTACCAGCCTTCTTTCTCTTCTGAAATCTTGCCTTCTTGCACCAAGTAAATTCTTAAGACTCTCCTCTATGTCCCATCTCTGATTCTAACATTTGTATTTCATAGACACTCGTGTTCCTTTTTTACTAAACAATATAAGCTATTTTATTCATTCAGAGTGTATAATGAAAAAACATGTTTTGAACTTAGAAACTAGAAATGCATCGATATGGAAGAAAAACTTCAAAGTTAAAGTCAAGCATCAGCATTAGGTCTGGAATGACTCTGAGTTCTTTGTTACTGAAGTATAAAGTGGTTTAAAAAACACATGATGGAAAAGCTAATAGATTAGACTTTAATGTTAAACTACTGTACTTCTAAAGAATACCACATTTAAAAGGCTGACCTAGGGGGTGTGGTGGTAGCACAGTGAGTTGAGCCACTGCTCTCAAGTCTCAGCTGCCCTGATGCAGCTAATGTGTATAAGAAAACCACAGATAATCTCCAAGTACTAGGGTCCATACAACCCACATAGGATTATCCAAGTACTTGGGGCCATATAACTCACATGAGAGACCCAGATGGAATTCCTGGTTCCTGACTTCAACCTGACCCAGCCCTGGCTGTGGCAGGCATTTGGGGAGTGAACTAGCAGATAAAAGATCACTTTCTCTGTCTTGCCCCTCTTTCTGATGCTCTTTCAAATAAATAAATAAATCTTTAAAAAATTTAAAGGCTAACATATGTCAACAACTACTTACAAAGATAAACATTTATAACATGATAGGCTAAGGGGTAAATTTTTCCTATAGATATGTTTTTACAAACCCATATGAAAAAGAGCATCCCAACTACAACTGAGCAAAGAGTCTAAATAAGTCATTGCGAAAGAAGAAACTCAAATGGTTAACATGTATGTGGAAAAACATGAACGACACTGTGGGCAATCAAACAAATTCAGGTTTCAAGCAATGTGATCTAATCCTTGTTTAGAATTCAGCAAAGTTTTTTTTTTTTTTTTAATATAATATGTAACCTCAGTCAGGGGTCAGGCAAATGACCACTCATGGAAAGTTTAATTTGGGTCAGACCTTTCAGAGAGCAACTTGTCAAGAGTTTTTTTGTTTTGTTTTGTTTTGTTTCAAAGTACTTGTCTTTCAACCCCCCAAAGCCATTTCATTCAGCAAATATTCCTGAGCACTTATAATGTACCCTTGGTTTCTAGTTGCCAGAAATGAAATTTTGGGTGTCAGGGGCTAAATCTAGCATAAGGAAATAATTTAATAACTGCACATTCATTTACAAGAGTATTGTTGAGTAATTAGTATAGTGAAATACGGAAAGCAAATTTGATATCCTTCCAGTGGTAGGAATTTGGTTAAGTAAACATTCTATTCCATGCAGAAAACTGCTCTACAGACATTAAGAAAGAGAATGAAAATGCTTACAAGATATGGTGGAGTGAAAAAGGCTGGTAGCAGGTCAAGATGTATACACTAATGCCAATGTTGTTTAAATATATAAATGAATAGGAACCATTTCTAAAAGTTTGCATAACCTCTTGCCAAAAAAGCATCATGGGTTATATGGGGGGGTTTTGGTTATCATTAAAACTTGCAATTTTCTAAAACATTATTAAAAGTGGTTTCTTGAGAACAGGATGGGTGGATTAGTACAAGATCATTATTGGTCAATGCAGCTCACTAGGAGGAAAATAGAAAGGTCTTTGCTATTTAAGATGAGCAGTATTGAAAGTAATGAACGGGCCGGCACCGCGGCTCACTAGGCTAATCCTCCGCCTTGCGGCGCCGGCACACCAGGTTCTAGTCCCGGTCGGGGCGCCGGATTCTGTCCCGGTTGCCCCTCTTCCAGGCCAGCTCTCTGCTGTGGCCTGGGAGTGCAGTGGAGGGTGGCCCAAGTGCTTGGGCCCTGCACCCCATGGGAGACCAGGAGAAGTACCTGGCTCCTGCCATCGGATCAGTGCGGTGCGCCGGCAGCAGCATGCTGGCCACAGCGGCCATTGGAGGGTGAACCAACGGCAAAGGAAGACCTTTCTCTGTCTCTCTCACTGTCCACTCTGCTTGTCAAAAAAAAAAAAAAAAAAAGTAATGAACATGAGCCCTTAGGATTTAAATCTAACAGAAGTGAAGTTGTTTCTCAACCCCAGGCTAAGAACTACTTTAGACACATAACATAGACTCTCCAGCAGCTTCGTGTAGAGGCACTGGCTCCCACAGTGCCCTTGGGCAGTGCCATCTCTTCCTCAGTTTCACCGCTTCTGCGCCAATGCCATCATTTCCCACACATGGTGAAGCCCCACAAGAGTAACGATGAGGACCCCCACCCCCCTAGGATAGTAAACTTGGATCTGTCATGATGAGCAGAAACTTCCATCATCACATTTCTGGATTTATAAGGTTGACCTTTCTTCCTAGATTTTTTCTTGGCAGAAAGAACAATTTATTCTAAAAGAGACACACATATAGAAATAACTCAAGAAGTAGATATAGAGAGGACCAAAAAAAAAAAAAAAAGCAATTCTTTATGAGTCTATTACTCCCAATTGACCCAAAATACAAGGGTATTTCCAAAAATTCATAGGAAATGGAATTAAAAGTTGTTTATTTGGGTGCAAGAAAGTTTTGAAATTTGCTCATACATGGAATCTTGAAAAAGTTCATTGAAGGGTGGGCATTTATTCTAGCACTTAAGACACCCACATCCCATATTATAGTAACTGGTTTTGATGCCCAGCTCCAGTTTCTGAACCCAGCTTCCTGCTATTCACACTCTGGGAGGCAGCAGTGACGGCTCAAGCAATTAGGTTCCTGCCACCCACCTGGGATACCTTGACTAATTTCTTAGTTTTGGCCTGGTCTAGTCTCAGCGTTTGAGAGTGAACCAATAGATGAGAGTGTGATCTCTCTCTCTCTCTCTCTCTCTCTCTGCTTCTCTCACTCACACATACATTTTTTTAAAGTTCATATGAAAGGCATATCAAGAAAACTGCATAGAATGCATAGATTTCAAAACCGTTTTGCAGGGCTAGGGCTGTGGCGTGGTGGGCTAAGCCTCCACCAGTGGTGCCAGAATCCCATATGGGCTCCAGTTTGTGTCCTGGCTGCCCTCTTCCAATCCAGCTTGCTGCTGTAGCCTGGGAAAGCAGTAGAAAATGGCCCAAGTGCTTGGGCCCCTGAACCCATGTGGGAAACCCATAAGAAGATTCTGGCTTCTGGCTCCTGGCTTCGGATTGGCTCAGCTCCGTCAATTGAGATCATCTGGGGAGTGAACCAGCAGATGGAAGACCTCTCTCTCTCTATCATTAAAATAAATAAATAAAATGCTTTAAAAAAAAACTTTTTGCACTGAAATAAACTCAATTCCACTTTTCTACCAGCTTTTGAAAAGAAGGTCATGGAGTATTACTGACTTTCGTGTCTAGGGAGCTCACCTTGTCCTTTCTCGTTTTCCTGATTCCATTGTCCTAGCTAAGCCTGATATTGGCAGGAGGCAGGTGTGACCGAGGACGCTAGTATATTCCTACCCCAGGTCTCTTGAGCATTCTGGGATGGTGTGGGTGATGTTACGCAAACCTAATGTTGGTTGTTGTTCTTTCCCCAGAATGTCGTGTGGTGAAGTCCACTTCCTACACCAAAATAGCTTCATCATCCCGCAGGAGCACCACCAAGAGCCCAGGACCTTCCCGGCGCAGCAAATCCCCGGCCTCCACCAGCTCAGGTAAAGCATCAGAGGAGACAGCCTGCTTTCTGACGCAGGATGAGGAGAGGGTGTGTGAAGCCCCAGTGTGAGGTTTCTAACATGGTGCAGATTCCGGTGATAATTTTAGAGCATGGTAGAGTGGATGAACAGATTTAACGGAGTCTAGGAGTCTAGCATGTTGGCTGTAAGAAAAAGAAGCAAACTAGGGAAAACTTGCTTAGTGAAGGCTCAGGAAACCCAGATTGGCCCACAGATAGAAGCGCACTACTGAATTATGTTATTCTGCCACGGAAGTTCATCTTCCAGGCTATAGAAGTTTCTGCCAAAATATTTGTTCTACCTGGGTCTGGCTTACAAAGAGTGTCCAACACGTTTTCCCGGAACTGTTGTTCTGGCCTCAGTTTCCTTTCGTGGCTGTGTATGGTGCTAAAAGCAGTGAGATGGATCGTATGGGGCAGTGGTCACTGCAGCGGTCACTGCCGTGGCCCTTCAAGGGTTCAGGTGCTGCTATGGGAGCTGGCTGTGGCCTCACGGGATTAGCATCTCAGCTCCGCCTTCTTTGGTTCTATGCAAAGGTGCCTTTTGTAGTTGATGGTGGTGGTTTTAGGTATGAGGTTTGTGTCACTATTAAGGGGAATTGTATATTAAATGATACAAACTGTTGAATGGGAATCATTAAATGGTACAAACATCAAAGTGATTGGCATTTGATTTCATGAAGACAAAAATGTGTGGATTTTAGTTTAACTAGATTGCAAATTTACTTTTAACTGGCATATAATTGTTCATGTTCATAGGGTACAATGTGATCATTTGCTTTATGTATGTGTCTAATAAGATCATTATACATGATTGACATGTCCTTCTCAAACATCTATTATTTCTTTATTGGGAAATTTCAAACTTCTGATTCTTTATAAAATGGGCAATAAATTGTTGGAAACTCAGAGCAGCTCTTGTAAATCAGGACAAAGACCTTTAGGGCCTACACAATGGCCTTTTACTCAACAGCACACCCAGGGTAGCATGGAAAGAGCTCTCAGCTGGGGCTGCCTAAGAGGGAACTCTTAATAGATTGATGGCTACACTGAACTTGGTTTGGAATCACCTTCCTCCTAGGACTGTACTAATTACCACTATTCCCTTGATGGGTCTCCAAAGACCACTTTCTGCTTTGACATTACCTCTAAGGGTGGCACCCCCTGCCCCCTTCCCACAGCAAAGCCAACATCATATCCAGTCTCAGGATCAGCCTCAGGGCACAGCTGGTACTTGAGTTGCAGCTTGTTAAACCCTCCTGATTTAAGATTCAGCTGAGAACTCTCAATATGGTATAGCTGGGGCAGGCATTTGGCCTAGCAGTTAAGGCACCACCTGGGACATCTACATCCCCTGTGAGAGTACCTGAGTTCGATTCCTGGCTTTCCTTCCTATTACAGCTTCCTGCTAATGTGCACTATGGGAGGTATCAGTTTATGGTTCAAGTACTTCAGTACCTGAAACCCACATGAGAGATCTGGATTGAATTCCTGGCTTCCAGCTGCAGCCTAGCCCTGCTCTGGCTGTTTGGGGGCATATCAAGAGTTAACCAACACATGGGAGATCTCTCTTTCTGTCTCTTCTCTATATTTCTGCCTTTAAGATAAATAAATTCATTAAATAGCATAGCTCATCTGGATGGAACCCCAAAATGAGACTGCTAACTGGGGATGCAGTGAGATCAGTTTAGAGTTCATGGAGATCACCTGAGCACTTGGCAGAGTTTGTCATCTTGACCTCCACTCCCTCAGATTCTGACTAAGGAGGTAAACCTGTGCTTCAGCAAGTACTCAGAATGATTTTAGTAGTCCATGGCATACATTTCAAGAAAGAGAGCAATGGTGCTGAGATGAGCAGCATCACCTGACCACCTGTCGGCAGTGCAAAGTCTTGAGCCTAGTCCAGATCTGCTTACCCAGAGGCTCTGGAGCTGGAGCTCAGCAGCCTGGGCATCCCCAAGCCCTCCAGGTGGCTCTGATGCACACCCACATTTGGTAACCACTAGGATGCAGACAACAGAAAGGAAGTAAGTTCAGGAAGTCAACTGACTCTGGATAATCTGGGGGGAAAGATGTGGCTTGCTCATCTTCATTTATTGGCAAGTTAGAGATGACTTGCTTTCCACCTCCCTGCTTGCCTCCAAGTGACAATTTCTATCACTAACTATTCCAACCCAAGAGCAGACCTCCAGATAGCAAGATATGCAAACCAAGGGTACAGTGTGCCAAGGAGGTCTTTCACCAACTCCCTCTTCTACCTCCTTACAATGTCCTGGCTGTAGAGAATCAGTCACCTGGAGAAGACAGACTTTCCTTCCAAAGATCATCTCTTTGCTGGAATATTAGAGAATATCTCTCTCTCCAAGAAAGACACCACCCACACACAGAGGGAGGACTCCATGAAATGTCAGCATGATTCTGAAATTGCTGCATGTTAGTGTGTCCGTGCACCAGCTGACAGCGTAACATTGAGCTCTGTTGGAGGATGGTCATTCTTGAACAAAGAACAGGGTTCATTTTCTGCGACCAAACCCAGGCTGTAGAATAAACTTTCACAGAGCAGTAAGGGAGACAGATCATTGGCCTAGCTAGCCTATTGGTCTCCCATATGGATTCAAGGACCAAAGGACTTGGGCCATTTTCTACTGCTTTCCTAGGCCATAGCAGAGAGCTGGATCAGAAGTGAACAGCCAGAACCCGAACCAGCACCCACATGGGATGCCAGCACTGCAGGCGGCAGCTTCACCTGCCATGCCACAACATAGGCCCCTAGCATGTCTAAGATTTATATATATTTATTTATCAAAAGTAACTTTGAAAACTCAGGAAAGCATATTGGCCTGTACGATAAACGTATTTGCATTCATCACTACCACATTCCTTTTGAAGGTTTAACATTGATGGGACCTGCTACCTCAAAACAAATAGGTTTTTCAAACAAACGTCCCTAGAGCCTTTTTTCAACTCTAGTGAAAACCAGGTGGATTTGATGAGCACTAACTTGGAATCATCCCTAGTAATACAAGCCTTGCCAGGTGGTATCATTTCTATAAAGAAAGTAGAATCCACATCAATTCTCCAAATCAATATGTTCTTGAAAAAGTAACACTTCATTCAAGGTATCCTTAAACTTGTAAGTTGAAATTATTTATGTGCCACTGATCTTCCAGCCAACTCCCTGCCATGTTGACCTAGAAGAGATGACACACAACCATTCCCTGGTTGTATAAAAGGCTGTGATATGCAAGGACTATTCCCTACTCTGGATCATAGTAAATCTTCTACCCTCATTGGAATGATTCCAGTGTACAGAGGCTCTACAGAGCAGCCAGCTGACAGTCACAAGTGTGTGGATTATAGCAGTGATTCCGAGACCATTCCCTTTTGGTGTCACCATTTCTTATCAGACAAGTGCAACAACTGGATGTTGGGGAGCTTCCCTTTGAGGTCCATCCACTGCCCTGTCCAGGTCTCCAATCCTCACTCAATTCTGACAGTCGAAACCAAAGAAAAGTAACAGTAAATTTCCTCTATATTGGTTGAATCTCAATTTTTAAAAAATAGTTGTTTAGCATTTTTCATAAATCACAGACACTTGGATAGTGATGATTTTACTTTAATATCCCTTAAAAACTGATATTGCCCCAAATCCAATGACCACCAAGAACCTGTTTTGAACATTAAAGAATATTTGTAATGTAAATTTTGAAATGATTCCTAGTTTAGTTATTAGATTTCCACTTTCAGTGTTCATCTTCCTTCATTTGATAGAAATTGGAACACATTGTAAAGTTAAGATTTGCTCAGTTTTTAGGCCATGTGGATGTTAATAACAATATGGTTAGCTTAGCATACAACTATGAAATATCATAGTTACATAGGACATTTATCCCATCAAGCTCTGCAACAATTCCCAGTTAGCAAGTAAGAAAAGTTACTATTATCTCTGTAGAAATGAAGAAGCAAAAGAAGAGCTGAGTACACTGCTTTGCTCAGAGTCTCAGACTGAATGACCACTCAGGGCTGGCCCCTTCCCATGCTCTGTCTGGATAACCAAGCTGGAGGCCTTTGGTGGCAGCTTCTTTACCACCACTTAGGAGAGTTTTGATCTCTAGGAAATAATTCATCTTGTACTTGCTTTGAGATCACAATTAACAGCATCATAATACTATGCAATATAAACCTTACTATTAATCCTCTTAACACCATCATTTCAAGAATTAAGTAATTCACCTCAGTTTCCTGGTGTACCTCAGTAGTGAAGGGAAACTTTTCTAATTTAGCGTTGGAATAAAAATGAGAATCCTTCATAAATCCTCCCTTTGCCCTTTACCTATTCCTTTTCTTGGAAATAAAAAAAGTTCTGAGTGATTTATTAATGTAAGGTATTCATTTACACATTCAGAAATGTCATGTGCAGGCCTACTAGTGTCAAGTGTTTTCTAGGTGCTAATGATGCAGAGATGAAAGGAAAGAGCCCCTACTTTCAAGAAGCGTGGGGGTCAAGACCTACTAAAGAATTTATGGATGACACCATTCATATACCTGTTGAATTGTTTAGTCTCTATAGCAGGAAGTGCCTAAAGAAGGCAAATAGAACTAGAAAAAAGTGAAACCAGAAGTCTTCATATTACACAAAAAGAGTAATATTCCCCTAGATAATTAAACACTTAGCAGACACAGAACAACTAACAAACCAGAGAAATGGTTTTCAGTTTCTTTCTTAAAGAAACAAGAATATATAAGAGCATCATAAAGAGTATTTAAATATGGGCTGGCCCTTTTCATGTATATATCTTTGAAACACATACATCTTGTAAAATGTGCAGTTGAAACCATTTTAAGCAAATTCTGTTTTTTGCACAAGGAAATTATAATAAAACTTCTCTGGAAATAGGAATGTAATATTTACTCACTGATTTCAGTAAAACTGATAAAGTTGAGTTCTGACTTATATTGTTTTCTTCACGTTGAAAGTAT